TGGTAATGAGCCAGCTGACGGTGGCCATGTGTTTGTTGGTGTTTATGCTCCAAATAAAATTGAGGTGGTTGTTTGTTTGATCATTAGTGTTGATATGTTGTTATGTACACACTGTAAATTATTTAACATTTGCATTTTCTTCATTTTGCTATTGACAAACAGGCACTTTTTGTACGACTCATCAGTCAAGTTTATCATCATCCTTATCAGATTTCCTTTTCCCTGCATAGGGAATAGGTTGAAAAGAGAAATATTGCCAAGGCTCAATTACCAGCTGCTGTTTCAGGAAATGATCCCACATGGCCAGACCCGAGAGAGCGGGGGGAAATCAAACCTAAACATTGCCAGAAGCCAAAATGGCGGTCTGCTGGAATTAAACCATTTCAATATTAATTCACTACTTTTAACTGGACTTAAAGAAAGCTTAATATATAACTATCAAACATGAAAGGCTATGTTTGGCGATATGTCAAAGCACCAGGATGAGAGTTGAAAATACCACGTACAGCGGAGTATTTTTGATGAACTTCAAAGTGTTTGGTAAAGTGGTCAAACCAGGTCTTGAGTGTTTGATATATCTTCTCAATCGAAATGAAAACTAAGGAGAAAATGGAGAAATAGACTGATATCGTAAAAATCTATGCTAATAAGATCAGATATCCAAGCACTGTGACTGTCACGGTCATAATTTTCCTTGTTTAACTTGTTGATAAGCAATATTCAAAATGGAGGGTAGGTGCCAATTGACAGCAAAGCAGGCAATGAGCAAGTGTGGGCAAAATGTAAATAATGGGGGGTAACCATGTCAACCTCCAATGGGTCACCTCCCCCTGGCACCTGTCCCAAAGAATACCCAGTGGAGAATAAGTATACTTACCAAGACACAAGGGCCCAGCATGAACCAAGAGGCGGGTGGGATGGGGAAAACCAAAGACAAAGCAACAAAGCAAGGCAGAGCAAAACCATGAGGGCAAAACTGCACAGCAAAGGCACAACTACGCATGCCCTCAGCGATCATCTGCTGGCCAACAGTAGATCTCCCAGTTAACTCTGATTATTGATAATCTCATTTAAACTTGATGAATTGTTACCAGGCTTTTAGCTATATACGTGTCCAGGCATCCTGTGGACGGCCACTCTCTACAGAAAATTGTTTTATTTTTCATATTTTGCCTTCTAAATTGCCCATTTGAGCAGGTCCTATAGCACATTTTGGACGGCCGCTCTTCAAATTCTGGCTAAAATCCTGATTGATACTGAGTTTGAGAAAGTTATAATTTTGGTTGGTTGGGTGCTCATTCCATAGTTGTTATTTTTTTTCTTTTTTTCAGTGGGTGCTTGTGGAGCAAGCCTGCAACATGTATTCCATGACCATTGTTCCCTTGTATGATACGCTTGGCCCAGAATCATGTGCCTACATCATTAACCAAGGTAACTCAGTTAGGTATTGAGCAGCTAAAACCACTCATCTGATAACTTTTCCTGAGCTGAATTATTTGACTTGAAGGATATTGTTAGCAAACTGTAGTTTTGGTAGCAACAGCAGCTATATGAGATATTGACTACTGATACAATTTTCTAAATGATAACAAGCAAAATTGATATAGACACTTTGGACCGAAAAATGTCTGAGGATTGCAGGATTACCCCCCACCCCCACCCCCAGGGCTGTGCTCTAGAAGCACCTGGGTGCCACAGGCAACTAACTTTTCGCCTTTGGGTGACTGGAGTAACCTACTTTTTTCACATAAGCTTGAGTGCTAGGCACCCAGGATTTCATGGTTAGGAATCTTTGGGCTCTTTGTAATTTTTCTTAGACCACAGCCTTGCCCACTCCCCCCTCCCCCATTGTTTTCAGTCACCTGTGTCTTGCCCAAGAACACAACACAACAACCTGTAAGGGTATGAACTAGCCGTTAGGCCACTGCTCTTCCCTGCTGGCGGCGTAGCAGTATTAAGTTGAAATAAGTGTTTTGTCCAGTTATATGGCATAGGAACAGTAATGAGGCTTGATTTTTGACCAGTGAGTTTAACATTGAACTCAACAATATTGCTTGATTATGACTGGAGAGATGTC